ATTGAAAATTGTCACCTAGACATTAAATTTCTCTACAACGTCGAACATGGTCGATGAAAAGTTATAACTCAGATTATGCTTGTTCAAGAAGGTCATTTGGATAAGCGAAAATGAGCCGTCTTAGAGTTGAACCCACTGAGACTCACTAAGACATTATCTAGCTTGAGCGAAGGCAAAGTTTACTCATATCTTAAAAAGCCAACCAATAGTGAACCGACAACTAACACCTTGAGTTTATTCACCAGATATGTATGATTGATCCTACTGAAGGCTTTTGGGAAATCGATGTATATCACGTCTAACTACCTCATGCGATCGGAAGTGGTAATGCAATCAACATACTGGTAATATAGAAAAAGTCCCATGGCTCCTCTCCTACAATCAAGTTTGTTTATGGGTATTATTACCAAGCTCTGTAATTAACTTATTTAACAGAGTGTTACTCGAACAACAAGGATTTGTCTATAACTTTGTGCCACTATTATTGCTACCATACTTGTATGAATGTGTGTGCTTGATCATATGTGACAGCCTACACATATATCCCAATCTCCGGCTTAAATGTTAGTTCAACCATATCAGGAGCGAAGCAGTTACTCTCCGAAAACAATGGGGGATAGTCGTACAATGTCGTGGATCGTTCTGAGTCGGAAATTAGCACTGTCGGACGTCGGCTCGGAGATTTATAGGTTGAAAATCCGTGCTCGAGGCTAAAGGCCACGAATTCGAGTCTCCCTTAAGAGTTCACGGATTCGTACTGCTGACGGCTTCTACAACAGGACGAAAAGGAGTGCTTCCAGGTTCTCAATGGTGGCCTACCATTGATCGGTTATTGGTTTCTATCAAATAGTAGTTGCCTAAAAATCTCTCGATAAATCGATCGGTTCCCAAGATATATGTGCTTGAATCTTACTGATTCATTCGACTCTCAATTCGCCTCTGTATTTACTTGTCCTCGTGTATTAGTTTTTCCGTCCAAGTTCACTTGGTATGCTTTTAGCCTAAGGATCTGAGTTATTTAATAATATATTTAAGTAGGCGGATCGAGTTTCCTTCCGAATCCATACATCAGTAGTGTTTATTTAATAATGGTTATCAGGGCGATCAATATATGGAGCCAAGCCATTACAGGCCTTCCGGAATCCATGTTGTTAGTATGAAATAAGTTTGTAGATAACAAGCAGGGGCTTAATCTGTTGGTGATACGCACTAAGGTGGACTCTAGTCAAGTATTGGAGCTCACTACCGTCTGAAGTGATTCAAGCGACTTTGTTGGAATCCTTTAAGAGGAAACTTGATACATCCCGAGGGACTCAGAACAGAATTTCAGATTACCTTTCTAATACTTCTCTTCTGTTTGCTTCAAAACTAGTCTTCTGCCTGGAGGCGTCGATAATCCATTGCTACTAGAGAATAAAGTTCATAAAGCGGAGACTTCTGTTCTGTCCGCGACCACTTGTTTCATTTCAGCCTTGAAGGTGAAATCCATCTTTTCAAGGTTGTTCTTCAAATCTGACATTTTAAATTTATCAGTTGTTGTCGTTATAATCAGGTAGAATTGTACTTAATTTGCAAATATACAAAGATTATTGTCTTGATAGTGATGTTAAAAACAAATGTCTTCATCCAAAATCAAAATGTGTTGATTTTACTTCTTGAAACTAGATAAAAAGACTATCTTTTCATTAATAACTAACTAGCGGGTGACATTTAAGTTCGTTGCGTGGCAAAAATCTTCAAAACCCCAAAATCTTAGTTCCGAGTGTTTGCTCAAAGTGTTGATTTTAGTTTTCTTGATCACTGAGCCTTGGATGATAACGAGAGTCTAACTCTTTTCATGAGCATAAAGTATACAGTTGAGCGGCCTCGGTTCCGCTTTCTTTATTTCATCAGTATACTTTATCCCAATTGTCTTGATGGTAAGAGCTTCTCATCCAATTCAACTTTTCGTCGGGTATTTTGGCACATGGATTTTCGATCACTCACTAAGAAAATGTGTCCTCGTATATCCTCTGTTCTAGAGATCGAAAAGGTTAGTTTAGATGCAGAATTATCATTAAGCAATTTTAGGGTCGCGACTTAGCGATAAGTTGTTCCTTTATACGACGAAAGAAACAGACTAAGGTCAGCTGGTCTCTAATCACACGATAGCTCCGAGACGCCAAGAATTAAGTTAGCTGGGGTTCGCTGAACCTTTTACAACAAATGAATGTCCTTTTCTAAATAGAGGCCGGGAGCACACGCTCATTATTTGAGGTTTGGTTAAATAAAATCTTTATAAAAAACCATAAATGTTTTAACACATGCTTGGATTAAGGGTTTGTGTACTGATCGAAAGGTTATGAGATAATTTGCTGGTATGCAAGAGTGGCTTGACTGACTATTGCTACTCAGTCATTGCATGGTTAGACAATGTACAACCTAAGATAATTCATCGCGTATTTGTCTGTGTCTTGGTGATCAGTTTGCATCATAACACACTTGTAAGCAATATACGACGATTTGTGAGTGCCATAGTTTTCAGATTCATGTGAAGTCCTAAAATTTTCATTTTGTTTCATGTCGATCCTGGTATTTTTGTATAGTTAGCATTTAACGAGACCGAGACTAGAAAGTTAGTTTGCACTCATTAAGAAAATCACTGCTTCCAAAACGCCTCATAATGAAATCCGAGATTATTTGGAAGCTACGAGGTCGACGCACTTCCTAATAATCAGATCCACAAACACACACACAAAGCCACACCGATTTCACTGGCTAACAGAGAGAGAATCAGATCGATCATATTTACACCAGTAAAAAACTCTTGAGATTAATGGAAGACGTGAGGACCAGTGGAGGAGCCGACAGAGTTTTGACGTCTACCTGGTGGTTGTCAAAATGAAACGAAAGATAAAGAAGCAATGGACAACTAAAAAAACTGCACTACAAACGCTAAATACAGCCTTCCTTCGACATACAAACTCAACGAATTCAATATAACTTTCGACAACAGGTTGCAGGTCTTACAAGATCTACTGAAAGAAGAAGAAACTACGATGGAGGACGACAAATGAAGAATGAGAAAGCATCAGGACCCGACAATATACCAGGTGAAGCTCTGAACTCACGCATTGAAGTAACTGCAAATATGCTCCACGTTCTATTCAAGAAGATTTGGGAGAAGGGAGAAGTTCCAACAGAGTGGAATGAAGGATATCTCATCAAGATACTAAAGGAAAGAAATCTGAGCAAATGTGAAAACTACGGATGCATAACTCTGCTGTCAGTACCAGGAAAGGTTTTAACAGAGTGTTGTTGAACCGGATGAAAGATTCAGTAAACGCACACCTTTGAGATTAACATGCTGGATTTTGTAAGGATTGGCCGTGCACAAACCAAATCACGACACTATTTTTGGTTAATCAGTTGAGTGGAACTCGTCACTATACATCAACTTCGTTGACTATGAGAAGAAGTTTAACAGTGTGGATAGGAAGACTTTATGGAACACTCTTTGACACCATAGTGTATCTGAGAAAATCGTCAACGCCACCCGAAATTCATACGACAGACTACACTGCAAATTTGTGAATGAAGGACAGCTGACAGATCCATTCCAAGTGAGAACCGGAGTCAAACAAGGCTGCTTACTCTCTTTCTTTCTCTTTCTTCTAATGGTTGACTGAATTATGAAGATCCTGACATCCAAGGGGAAGCACAGAACACAACGGACAGCTTGTATGCAACTAGACGATTTGGACTTTGAAGATGGCCTAGCCCTTCTATCCCACACACACGAATAGATGCAAGTGAAAGCAGCTAGTGTAGCAGAAGCCTCTGCAGCAGTAGGGCTCCACATACACAAGGGAAAAAGCAAGATCTTGAAATATAACACAAAGAACACCTACCCAATCATACTTGATGGAGAAACGCTGGAAGAGGTGGAAATTTTTATGTACTCGGGCATCATCACTGATGAACAAGAAGGATCTGATGCAGACGTAAAGGCGAGGACTGGCAAAGCAAGAACAACACTTCTATAATTGATGAACATATGGAACTGGAAGAATCGGTTAACCAATATCAAAGTCACAATCTCCAATGCAAACGTCAAGACATTTCTACGGTACGGAGTTGAAACTTCGGGAACTACCACAACCATCATCAAAATGGTTCAAGTACTTATAAACAGCTGTCTACACAAGATGCTCAATGGCTGTTGGCTGAAAACCATCAGCAACAGACTACTGTGAGTGAGAAAAAACTGTGTCTGGAATTGTAAAAAGACATTCAACGGATGAATAACAGCTGGAGACAGCTAAAAAGGATTGTTTAGGGCGGAATTGAATAGAGAATACTGGTGGGTGGTCTATACTCCTCCTTGAGGGTTAAGAGGCATAAGTAAGTATTATTACCGTCAGGTTACATAAATTCTTTTCGACTGATTGTGCACTAATCTTTGCAGTAGTTGGGGACCATATAAAGTGGAACTCTATGATTGTACAAAAATAGATTACTTTATTAATGTTCTACAAAACATATTTGTAGGACATCTTACTAATAAAATCAGTGGTGTGGACAACTGAAAGCAATAAATAAAACAATAAAACTACCCCTCAATATTTCTCATTCCTATTTGGCAAAATTTACCGAGGAAATTAATTATGTCCAAATTCATATGCTTGAACTACTGTGAAATGTAGAGTATTGAACCGATGAACATAATTGCTATATCTTACCTCATTTATAAGTGGCTAAATTATCTGATTTCATTTTGAACATGTTTGTTAATGGCAAACATTCATGCCAATTTTTTAAAGCAGTAAACAATCAACTGAAGTAAAGTACTAATTGTTCTACCTCAGTGTCTTACCCAATAAAATTTAAACTTTGCCAATATTAACAAAATATACTTCGTGGAACTCAAAATTGTTTATTTTCTTGTTTTTCCCTTTTTCAGACAAACCCCGTACTCATCAATAATAAACATATTTTTTTAGGATAATAGGTCAAATAAAATGTCAGGGTATCAAGGTATGTTTGCTAAGCATAAAAGTTCTGTCCAATAAACACACAAACTGTAGTAACAAAGCTTTATTTTACAAGAAAAATTAAGCTACATCAACACAATCTAATTCTGTACTTCTCTCTTTTTCGGCAACAGACCTCTCAATCGCTAAAAACATTCGAAGAAGTCTTTGAGTGCTGTTGTTTCATATTTTACTAAAATAGTGTGAGGAAACAAATTTTTCAAACTTAACTCATCCAGGCAGTAAAGTGGTGACCATTTGACACAAGAAATCATAGATGCATGATGTTTTCAACAATACAAGAGATTGATGTCTGTTCACAATCAATAGTATTACTATTTATTAAGGTTTGTTTGTTGATGTTAAGAACTGGAATTGATTTGTTTTATTTTGTTGCTGTGCACATAAGCAGATTGCCTCAATATTGCCATTTAGTCACAAGACTTGACAAACTTTTAGCTAACAGTGGTTAACAGCGACAATCAAATGATATAAACATCTATAATTAAAAAATTATACCCGTTACACAAACTAGTATATATCTAGATTCAGTAGTTCAATGGAAAATACTTTGTAATTTTGAAGCGAAAATTGCTAGGTTCGAATCACAGTGTAAATATCAGAGCTGGAATACGGGCTCAGTTACCTGAAAGGTCCTAAACAGGACTATATGGATGCCTACTATTTAACTTTAACAATATTTTTTGTCTACCAAATTTTCAATATCTAATGAACAGATTATGTAATCACTTGATATTTCATCATTTTCATTTTTATTTCGATTTCTCCTCACTCTCTTCTTTCTCCTTTCTTCTTTACATATATATATATATATATATATATATTCTATTTAACAGATGACATTGATGATAAAGAACAAGGAAACATTCAATCATCAGCTTCTGTGCTTTCAGATATAAGTATATTAAATATAGCTAAAGCATTAACTGAAAATGATATGAGAGTATTTTTATTATTAAATATACCATTAACAACATGTATTAATAATTATGAAGAAATGCGTACATTTAATCAACGTGAAGCAGCATTTAGTCAAAAAACATTAATGTATTGGAAAAAATTACGTGAAACAGTTAAAGATGATATAAAAATAGCTGAATTAGAATATGCTTTAAGACAGTCTGATCATAAAGAATTAGCTGATATATTGGTTGAAAGAAATCGTATGAATTTAGAAATTACACGAGATTTATTACAGAAATAAACTGCTTCAAGAAGGTTTTCTTTTAATGCTGATATATATAAATTACAACTATATCGGTGTTTCCTTCCATTCCATAACACTCATTCCACCAACCTATATATATATATACTGATATAAAAGGTAATATATGTTGGTTTTGTTCTGTTTGAAGTTGATGATTTCATTACGGAATATCGAAATAACTTGCATGTTATTTTGTATAATTGTAAACTGTTTGTACAAGAACCTTTGTATGTTTTTATAGTATATGAATAATACAAGTATTTCAAAACACGAATTTTCGATAAACTGACTTGTATATTTTTCAGAGTTTAGATAGTTAGAGAGATAATTGTCAGAAGGCCATTATTGTTTTTATTGTATTCTGTCTCTTTCCATCATAATGGGCTCCCTCATCATCATCATCATCATCTTGTTTGTTTGTTTTTTACCTTAAGTTAATATGAATAAACTACGTAAGTTAGTGAAATCATACTGACCAGTAGATGCAAGAAAAGTATCACTCAATTATCATTAAATAATCAGTTTTCACTGTTTATTATTACCTTGAAAACATGATTTTTCAGAAGATAGAAGTTGGAAATATCTTACAGAATTTTATTTCATGAGATTGATGAATTACAAACTAACTGGGACAGTGTCTTGAATTCAAATTACATATGGATTATAAGTTTACCTGCAAGATTGTAAATCAAAATGTATAAGCGAATTACAACTATTAGGAATTTTAGTCTTAGAGTTTTCAGTGAACTGCTTACCTATACGACTAATACCAAACATTTAGTGAATATTATATCGAGTCAATTAAACTAATGGTCGAGTTGTGATGAGATTGATAAAAATCGATCAGCTCTACTGGTTAAAAAAACCTAACATTACTGAATTAAAGTCTTTGCCCTCAAGAGTAAAGACAAGTGATAGGACACAACGAATTAAGAATTCCATTTGGTTCTCAAACTTCAGTAAGATTTATTTAAAAAACAGGAGGAATCAATGCTGTTCTAAAATTTTAAACAGTTGTCATTTAATATTACTTTAACACACATTACTGCTCACCTATGTGAATAAAATTGGCTTTTTGTAGGACAAAAATATACTTGCCAAACGGTCACTCAATGGTAATCAGTCATATCTACTGATCGGCACTAATCGAATTAAGCCCATAGTATTTGCACTGTAGCATATGAACAAAGTTACTGGGACTTAAGATGAATCTTATATACTGTTAGACGGCTGACATTATCCAGCAGGATGCTACAGACCTACGTTTCTCAGAAGTGGTCACTGGGTGAAACGGGTTGGAAGATCTACAGTACCTGTGTTTCTTTCGGAATTGGAAATATGACTGAAAGTCACGTACTTACTAATCCAGTTTGAGTTCATCCAAACAGTTAGTCACTTCATCTCACCATCATATTGTAAATATCATACACAGAATTCGATTACTAGACACCGACACCAACTGCAAATCAGTCCATTTCCAGTTGACTACCGAATTGGAACTGTTAGTGTTTCTTATTATACTGCGTATATATTTATAGACTTTTCAGATTATTTAAAATCTTGAATTATGGATATGAAACGAATTTTAAGGAGTAATTTTATATGATAATTGGCTTTTCAACTAGTTACTATCTTTTGAGCTTTATGTATTGGTAAATTTGATCAGTTAGCGACTTCTGTTACTTTAAAAATACCCTCATATTTTCCTGTTAACAAAGGATTTAACATTCTTAATTGTCAAATACAAGTAGTATATGCTTAAAATACTACTGATCACGAAGCAAGAAATCAATAAATTATTATATGATGAAGTAATTTAGAACAAATTGTCCAATCACATGCGTTGATGAGCAAATTAAATTTACTTATTTGACTTGGAAATTGTCCTCTTTTATAAATATAAGACATTCTATGATCTTCTTTTGATATCTGTTTTAAACTAAAAAGGAGTCTACTGAAAGCTCAAACGAATACGAACCTTTTCTATTCTGTGTTCTTATAAGTGAACTATTTTTTACTTGATATAAATAAAAACAAATTAGTACAATAATTACCTAACAGAATTTATATATTTTATACGAATATTCTTCAGTATTAGAACGAATGGTTTGACAAAAATTAGGCACCGAGTATAGAGAAGTCATTATATGTGCAAAATTATATTTGAAATAATCTCAGCGATTGAAATTTAAATCATTCAAACGTTTCGTCCAGTAAACTTATCTGAACTTCTTCAGAGTAATAATCAAAATTGTAATCATTTAAGAAACATGTAGTGTTTAACATTCAAAGTAAAAATATATAACTGTAATTACACAAAGGTATATGACCTACAAAGAAATATGTATACGTGATATCCAAACTTCAAAAAACATACTCATGAGAAATATAATCACGAAATGTCACATTTAGAAATCATTCTCAAATTCTTAACAGATGAATTTCGACCAAGTCTGTAGTCAAGAAATTACTTATCAAAATCATTAGGTAATTGTTACTCTGCATCATTAGTTAACTGAAATCAGATTCAATTGCATGATCTGCCATCTTCCACAGTAGACACATTTGTGAAATATGCGGATGATCTCACAGTTTGTATACCTATCTCTTCCTCTTTACATCCGATAGAAATGAATGAGCTTTTGTCTTGTATTGATTGTTGGTCTGTTAGTAATGGTCTTAATCCGTCGAAATGTCAAGCTGTTAACTTTAGCGTGAGACATGAACGGCATCTAAACACCACTTTAGGATCCCATAGTGCTTGTGCCATTGGAGACTCTTTGATAAACACAGTGTCGAAGGTCAATTATCTTGGTGTTACCTTTTCTTTTGATCTGTCTTGGTCTTCTCACGTTTTATTGTTATCGAAGAAAGTTTTCCGTCTGACCTACTACATTAAGAGATTGCATGCTCTTGGGATTACTCGTCATTTACTCTTACAATTTGTCAATTCTTGCATATTACCTATTATTCTTTACTGTAATCCATGATTCTTTACCGGGCTTTTGAGAAAAGACTTTGCTGTATTGCGGAGAATGCTGAAGGCAGTTAGCAAGATGTGTGGTGAATCTTTCGAGGTCATAATTAATATGGTTGTGAATAGACATCCAAAGTCATGCAAACTCCTGGCAGGCGTTATCTTATCAGATACTAACCATCCTCTTCACTCATAACTTTCTCATTGTATATCTTCTGGTAGAATGAGACGTAATTACACTAAAATCCATGCACACAAGGAAAAGTATAAAAGTTCTGTAATACCTTACCTAGCAAATATACTCTGTGACGAACAGGTTGTTAGAGTGAACCTAGTCAATAATCTGCATTCTTAACATGTCTGTAATTTGAAAAGTTGTACAGTTTTTCGGCTTTTTTGAAACCTTTTTTTCTCTTTTTTTGTCTTTGTTACTGTTTTTTTGCGTAAGTAACTTGTTGAAATACCCTGTGCTGAGAATTTCTATATTGTACCAAAATATAATATTGAATAAAGTCGTCAATAATAATATTTGCTGACCAAACTAAAGCGGAAAGATTGATTCACAAAAAATTCATTTGTCTGTATTATTGAAAATTTCTAGAGCAACACAAAACTCATTCATTTCTAGTATTCAATAATTTTTCAAATGAAATAAGTCTTTGAGGAATTTTATCTTCAAGATATCAAAGATGATTTATATATTTATATAGTTTGGTTTCTCCTAAATACGAATACAAATTATCATAAGTTAGAATTATAACACTGTTTATATTTCATTCAAGTATTTGCTTACTTCTTAATAAATTTATCATAAACTATTTAACTTAAATTATTGATTGTTGCCAAGAAAAACACAAAATTTGGTTGCATTAAAACGCACATATTTGATTGATCTACCAAGTTTTTCTTTTAGAGATTATTCATTACACAAGAAGATATAGGGTAAAGTGGTCATGAAAAAAGAGAATATTACATATACATGATCAGTTTAGGGTATATATATATATATATATCTGATTATATATGCATATAAATTCTAAACTTCTACATTATATACAACTTTGCTTCCTTTTGAATGAAAAACATAAGTCAATAGGTAGATGCGTACAAGAGAGGTGAAACTGATGAGAAACATTTAAACAAACCGAAAATATTTAGTCTCATTATAAAAAGATATATGCTTGTTTTAAAAATCTTTGTTCTTCGAAAATATATATAGTTATATATCCATTTCATATTATCTAACAGTTATTGTATATAAACATAAATAAATATCAGTTTAGTATGAGATCATAAAGTTGTGGTTTTTCAAAAAAACAGAATAATCAATGTATAACACCGTAGAATATTGAAGATAATAAATAATCCATTGGAAATTTTCTTTATTCATTAACAATTATGATCTGTTATTTCAATAATCAGAAGAACAACAAATTGTCATATATAGATAGTAATAGTAATAATAATTGAAATTAAATACATACGGCAAAATAATGGAATGTAAAGAAGATAAACTATACTAAAGATAATGATGATGGTGATGATAATGATGTTGATGATCACGATGATGATAGAAGATGTTCTTATAGTCGTATTAAAATTCAACATAACCATATGACTTATGATATTTATTACTGTTTTATTCAAGAAGCTGATATATATTATGCATGTATACAGTTGTTGTATGCTTATCTTAGAAAGAAACAATAGTTGGATTCAATTCGACAGACATGAACTCATTAATAATCTAGTCAGTATATATATATCGCGGGTGTATTTCAATGTCATATATTTATTCTTTGAGACTGAAGTTGATCTGTGAATAAAAAAAACATAAAAAATTACACATTATAGGAATGCACAAGAAGAATGAGAATCAAAGTGAACATGCTTATATTGACAACATCATTTAATATATAATGAAAATATAAATCTGATTTATTTTGAATGGTTATAACAAATATATTTTATGTTGTAATCTAATTAGTAGAAAAGTTATATTTTTGACGTTTTGTCACTT